GTAAAAAAATTCTTAAAACTTGGTAGGGAGTTTATATAGTCTTGTATATTTATATGTATGCGCTGCAGATTTTAAATTAATTAAATTAATTAAAATTAATTTTAAATTTACTTAAATTATGTAATTAAATTAATGTAATGTAATTTAATTTATTTAATTATTTTAAAATTAATTAGTTTAAATTTAAATTAAATGTAAAATATTAAAATTTTAATGTCTAAAACTTTTAGCCATTAATTAAAAATTTCAAATTTAATTTTAATTTAATTTTAATCATTTAAAAATTAATTTATCCCATCTCTGTAAAAGCTAGGAAAACCAACACTTTATGACCTGCTGCACCCTTTCAGCCTGGACATTAGGAGGGATTCTTCCCTAGAAGGGTATTTAAACATTAGAAGGTTCTGCCAGGGGAGGTTTCCTGGAGGTGTCCACACCTGGATGTGGCACTCAGTGCTCTGGTGACAATCTGGGGATCAGTCACAACTTGGACTCGGTGCTCTGGGAGGTCTTGTCCACCCTAAATATTACAAAACCCTTTTCCCTGCATGAGTATTCCTAGAAAACCTTTCCCTTGCTCACAGTGCTGCACTTCTCCACTGGTATTTGCATTGCTGATTATTTGGCCTTAGGAGAAGAGTTGCTCTGCTCTCAGCAGCTGGTGGTTTCCTTTCCAGAGGAGATGGATTTGTTTTTTCCATCCCTGAATAATTTAGATCCTATTCATAGCTTAAAAATATTACTTTGCAGAGTAACGAGATGCTGGTATGAGGCTGAAAATGAATGTTCTGATGTATTTCTACCTGCAAATTGCAAAACTGCTGCGTGAAGTTTGCTGTGACAAAGCTTTAGGGACTCCAGTTTAGTTTGCATTTAATCAATTTGTTTTGTAGAGGAAAATTTATATCAACTCTGGCAGCCCTTTTAATTGGTAGGTTTCAGAAATGAAATTATGCCTGATTCTGCTTCCAAATGTGCTGTGACATTAATGTTAAAAAAAAAATTAAAATTACTAGTTTTGCTTCTCTTCATTGTGAAATGGGCAGGCATTGTGTATAAAGAGATTCGTTACAGTTTTTACCCTTTTTAACAGGTTTTGTCGTGCTTTAAAACCTTTTTAAAAGTTTTTGTCATCGTCAACTGATATTGGTTAGAATATAGGCAGCATAGGAAATGCAAGGACATAACATTGGTTAGAATATAAGAAATGGCTTATAATTTAAAAAACATAAGCAGCATAGGAAACACAAGGACATAACATTGGTTAGAACATAAGAAATGGCTCATAATTTGAAAAACAAACATTTTCTTGTTGGTCTGTATTAGAGAAAACACTTAGCCTGGGCTCTTGAATTGGGCTGGTGACTTAGATCAGTTGGATGCTCCCAGCTGAGATAAATACTGAATTCTTTGTTTGGAAGAGGTGAGGAGTGGCACCAGTGGGACCCCAGGCAGAGGAGGATGAGCTGTACCCGGGTACCTGGGATTGTCCTGGGAGCAGCCACACACTGCAGGGGACAAGGATCCACAGACTCTGCTTTGGCTGAGGATGGAAAATTGGGAATGGGGATGGGAACTGGGAATGGGAAGGGGGTTTGGAGTGGGATGAGGGAATGGGATCTGGGAATGGAAATCTAGGAACTGGGAATGGAAAAGGAACCGGGAATGGAAAACTGGGAATGGAGCTGGGAGATGTGTCCTGGAAAGAAACCTTTGGAATGCTTTTGTGCCAGGTTTTTCCTGGAGATGCTGTTTGATCACAGGGCCCTGGAGGGACAGGGCACAGGGAATGGCTTCCCACAAGAGGGCAGGGATGGATGGGAGATTGGGCAGGAATTGTTCCCTGGCAGGGTGGGGAGGGGCTGTGATGGAATTCCCAGAGCAGCTGTGGCTGCCCCTGGATCCCTGGCAGTGCCCAAGGCCAGGCTGGGCAGGGCTTGGAGCAGCCTGGGGCAGTGAAGGTGTCCCTGCCATGGCAGGGGTGGCACTGGATGGGTTTAAGATCCTTCCAACCCAACCCATCCTGGGATTGTGTGAACATTCCCATTGCTTGGCAGCTTCTCTGGAGCCTCCTGAGCCCTGAACCTTTGCTGCCAGGACCTGCCCTGTGGTCCTGCCCAAGCTCTGTGGGATGCCCTCTCTGCTCCAGCTCCTGCTCTTCCTGCTGCTGCTTGTGGGAAATGGATTTTGTAGGTAATTCTCAAAACCTGATGGAAAGCTCACAGTGTTCGTCTCTATACAAACCTTGAGATAAGAAATGCTGACTTAGAAATGCCATAGAATAGGACAGACACTGTTGAGAAAGAAATGGAACTAGAAACAAGTTTCAAAAGATAACCTTACAAAAAAAAACCCTAAATACTTTAGAGAAATAAAACTATAAAAGAACATATTATATTAGGACCCACAAAGAATAATTTTAGATTATTAATTTTAACGAATTTGCACTATAGTGTGACAAAAGCTGATAGGCCAAGAAACCTATTTTATAGTGAAAATATATTATGGAAGGAAAATAAAGAAAAGTTCTGTATATTCTATAGAAATCTAGCTTATAGTGTATTGTTATTAGGAAATATTTGGCTTCAGATTGTGATGGTGTGAATTGTAACACCTGTATTATCTCACCCTTCAAATGAGACTGACAATGGAATAAAAGTTTTTAAAACACCTCTCAGTTATCCCATCTCTGGGTCAGAAAAGGGTTTAGTCCAATACTGTTCAGTTCGGAGTGGAGGCATTCTTAGCATTCTTTCCAGTCTGCATCGTAGCTACACAACATCTAATCACACTTCTCCAGAACAACTAGCCTGTAAATTAACATTATAATGGATCCTAAGGGTTTGTAATTACTCAGAAATGTCACTGGGCTGGAAGAGTGCTGGTTTTTACTTGTCAGCAGTCTTCCCTCTCCTTTCTTGAACTCTTCTTGCAGGTGAAAAATTCACTTTTTCCCGAGGTTTTATTGTCCTGAGCAGCACCTTCCTCCTCTGTTGTAATGATTGTCCTGGTAATGGTACAGGAGTGTCACCAAAGTTAGGGACCAGGCTGAGGGGAGCTCGATACATCACTGAATTTCCTTGCTGAGCCGAAGTATCCCAACCATTTCTAAACACCACCAGCTTCTGCTTTCTTCTGTCCCATCCCAATTTTGATGTTTTATTTCTTCAGATGAAAATCCATGGGAGTGGCTGGGGGAGTTGCCTTTGGCAGGGATGGGGATGCTGCTCCCACAACTGCCTCTCAGAGGGAGGGGAGCAGGAATCTTTGAATTGTGTCTCAAATCCTGCCTTGGGCAGGGCAGCAGCATCCTTCCTGCTGCCCATCTCTGGCGAAAGCAGGGTTTATTCCCACAGGAGAATTCCCTCCTCCAGATGGACACAAGGGCTGCAGCAGTGGGGGTGGTTGCTACTTCACCAAAGTGACACCAGAATTTTTGGCTCCTTATGTGGGCAGCACTGCAGTTCCCTCCAGAGCTTAGCTTGGAGCAGCTGCATCTCCTGGAGTACCAAAAATGAGTTTTCCATCCCCTAAGGAGAGCTCCAGGTGGGTAGTACGGGGTGGTGGATGCATCCCAACCTGGAACTAAACTGGCAATATCCATCCTTTACACAGCTGCATTTTCAGCCAGCATTCCCTTTTGGGAAAAGAATGATCTGCCACGAATTTGCTGCCTTTTTGTGGAAAAGGGGGGAAGGAATGAAATAATAGTTAATACTTAATGCATATGAGCAGCGATGCTGCTGGGGTTGCCTAGCAGCCACTTAGACAAGCAAGAGAATAAAAAGGGCTGAGTGAATGTGTTTGGAGCTGGTTCCTGGGTCTGCGAGTGGAATCTGACCCATGCAGCCCGTTTGGTTGGGTTTTTTTTTTTTTTTTTTTTGGGGGGGGGGGAAGGGGAAGAGATGGTGGAATTTCCTACTAATGGATATTTTAGCTCTGGATCATCTTTATCCACTCCTCCACCCCCATCTGGTTTTCCTTTTCGGTTTTCTTCCAGTGTAACTTAGAGAGCTTTAGCCAAAGGGAGGTGTTAAAGTTTTGTGTGGTTTTTCTGGAGATGGAATAGGCAAAAAAAAAAAAAAATCTCTCAAAGAGATTTTTTTTCCTTCTATTTAGGACGGTATCTCTGGCAGTCTGGAGATCATTAGCATTTCATGGCCTCTTCAATATACTGCTCAGTAAATGCTGTAGAGACTGGAAATAGCTTCTGCAATCACACTTAACACTCCTCACATTGCTCTCCTTCCTGTAAGAAGTTCATTTCATCTTCTGAAAAGGAAAAGTAGAAAGAAACTTTTTGGGGGAAAAAGGGCGGGGGAGATTTGAGCTGTTCTATGAGTGCAAATATACTCCTTCCCCCACAAGACCAGAAATTCCCCGAAGTATAAAGTTGGGTTAAAACCCCACTAAGAGATAAAAAAAAGGAAGGTGGACAGTTTAAATAGTGCTTTTTCTGAATTCATGTTCTTCTCTTGACTTTTTTTTCAGTAAAAGTTGGAAAGCTGGAAACCCTTTTCCTTGTCAGGCACTTGTGGGAGTTACAGGACTCCAGCAACTGGAATCCTAAAACCTCCACTGCCATCCACACTTGAGAGGTGTGAACTCTCAATTTTAATGTGTTTTCCTCATCCCAGCAGTAATTTTTAGCATATTAAAGCAGAGAAAAGGGCACTTAGGAGAAAGGAATGAAGTGAGAAGCATCTTGGATTTAATTTGGAATAACTACAGTGGGTCTATGAGGGCAGCTGGTCTCTTTTACACTCTGAGAGGAGCTGATGGCTCTTGGGTCAGTGCCAGCAGAGATATCCCTGCAGGAATTCTGGTGTAAGGAGCAAGGGGATCTAGGCAGGGAGTTTGGGCTGGTTTTACAGGCTGGGCTTTGAGTGAGACCACAGTCGTCAGGAGGTTGGTCACGTCCACCTTTGCTGCTTCTGCTGTCCTGGCCAGAATTCTCTTTTGAAGTCCTTCACTTGGCCAAATGTCAGCTTTTAACCATTTTCACAGAGTTTGGAGGCTGCAGTGCTGAAGTTTGCCTTAAAGCAGTGGTGGGATGGGCAGGGGTTGAATGAGCTTGGTTTGATTGATTTTTCATTAATGAGTGTAAATGCTATTGGATCACCTCAGAGAGCTGCAGGTGCTGTCTGTGTTATCCCTTAGCCAGGGAGAGTCTTTACATTATGACTTTTTAATTTCCAGTTGTCATTTTTAAGTTGTTCTTGTCTTCCATAAGTAGTTGCTCTCTGATGAATGATGCTCTGAATATCTCCACCAAAAGATTGTTTGCCTCCTTCAGAATATTTCTGGATTAATTCTTCTCATGCAGGGCAGCTCCCCTGAGAAGGAAATAAATGCTAAAAGACCAAGGAGTAGTTTGGGGACGGGGTCAGCAATAACTGAGGGGAAAAAAATCCTTAAAGATCCAAAAGAGCCTTAAAATCTTTAAGGATTAAAAATCCTTAAAGAACCAAAATTTTGGAAGACTTGATTTAAAACGTGCTCAGGATTGTGACTTTTATTTTTCATCCAGTGGATGAGTGACTCCAACTTTTTATGCCATGTGCCTCAGAGAAGTGAATGCCTCAGTCCAAGCTTGCAACACTGCATTCCATCAAACGTTGGGCTTTATCCTGGAGGTCTTTTCCAAACTTTGTGATTCTATAATCACTGGCAAAACACCTGGAAGAAACACCAGAGGAAGCAGTGAAAGCACCCACCCCTGGAAATCACCAGTGATGAGCTTCTATTGATCCTTGCCAAGGTGAACTGAAGTGATGCCACTGCCTAAACTTAAATTGAAAAGCTGGAGAGACAAATTCTGCCCCAGATCTGCTCCTCTTGGGACCTGTGACAGCAGTCTGTGGTCTCACTGATGATCAGCAAGCACAGCAGAACTTTTATTTGCTATATCAGACCACAGCACCCAGGACAATGATGTTTCCACCAGCCCAACAAAAGCCTTTCTCTAATCTTTATCTCCCCAGAGCAAGCTCTCTTAAAATCCTCCGAGTGTCTCTACATTTTTTTGCTTATGATTAATTGCCTCAAATTCTAATGTAAAAAAATCCATGTGGAGAATTTGAATTAGCTTTCCACGTTCATGGCACTAGAAGAAAACATCCTTTTGATTAATTTCTCCTCTTCATCAAATCAGGGGACACTCCAAAACCACACAGCCCCTCTCCCAAAAACTCATTTCCCAGCCAGGCTGCCTTTGCCTGGATTCACAGCCACCACCAAGAAAAGCAAACCTGTTTGAAGTAAGCTAAACCCTGGCTGAAATGATCTAAATTCTGCTGGAAGACTTGGAGGGATCTACAAATAGATAGGGGGAAAAAAAGACATAAGTTGGAAGAGAACTTGCTGAAGGACTTGTGTGTGCTTAGGGGTGCAGAAACACCGTGAGTAGTTTACACCCAGCTCCAAAAAAGCTTAATTCCTTAATATTATTTGTAAAAAACCCCAAATGAACAAAAATATTTCTCTCCAGAGCATCTACACCCAGCCCCAAAAAAGTTTAATTACTTAATATTATTTTTTAAAAACCCCAAATGAACAAGATTTTTCTCCAGAGCATCTACACCCCAGCTTCAAAAAACCTTAATTCCCTAATATTATTTTTTAAAAAACCCCAACCGAGCAAAAAGCACAAAAATATTTCTCTCCTGAGCATCTGCTTTGCCGAGCGCTCCCCCATCCCGCTAATCCGTTTATTCTGAAATAACAATTCAATAAAATCAAACCCAACCAAAACAAAGCGGCGGCGGCGCCCGCGGCCCCCCCTCGCAGTTACCATGGCAAAGGCGTTATTTGTCCCTCCTGCCTTCCCCGGGCTCCTGAAAATACCCTGCTGACATATTTTGTGAGGCGGGATGGGGATGTTTGGTTTGGGAAACGCTCCCCGCGTCGCCTGGCAACGGGAGGAGAGCGGGAGGGGACCGCGTCACCCCTGGCAACCGCTGTTGGTCCCCAAACATCGCAGCCTCCCCCACATCCTCCCAACATCATCCGCCGCTTCCGAGCCCGCCCCGCCTTCGGCTGCTCCCTGTGGGGTCCCCAAAACGCCCCAGAGGGGTCTCGGGGGTAGCAGAGGAGATATTTCCTCCCCCACCCCAGCTGATGGTTCAAAAGGGTTTAAAGGTTCCCTGCTCGACCTGAGCCAGGAGCTTCTGGACTGAGCCAGCCCGTGTGGGGATGGTGGGGTGAGGGTTTGGGGATGGTGGGATCAGGTGGGTTTGGGGATGATGGGACTAGGTGGATTTGGGGATGGTGGGATCAGGCGGGTTTGGGGATGCTGGGATGAGGGTTTGGGGATGCTAGAATGAGATGGGTTTGGGCATGGTGGGATGAGGTGGGTTTGGGATCAGGTGGGTTTGGTATGAAGTGGGTTTTAGGGATGATGAGATGAGGTAGGTTTGGGATGAGGTGGGTTTGGGGATGTTTGGATCAGGTGAGGTTTGGGATGGAGTGGGTTTTAGGGATGATGAGGTGAGGTTTGGGGAGGGTAGGATCAGGTGGGTTTGGGATCAGTTGAGGTTTGGGATGAGGTGGGTTTTAGGGATGATGAGGTGAGGTTTGGGGATGGTGGGATCAAGTGGGTTTTGGGGTCATCAGAGTCCCTGTCCAGCCAGAGCAGACGCAAAAAGCTTGTTGACACAAAGCCAGCCACTTGTTCTCCAGGTGAAAAACTCTGCCCACAGGAATTTATTGCCTGGATAAACAATCTCGCTTGGTTAATTCCAGTTCTGTAGCAGTCAGTTCTCTTTCTTTGGGACAGTGGAAGCTGTTGGAGCAGTGTGGAGCTGTTGAAATCTTTATCTCCTCCCATTCCTGTAGGATACATTTAGTCTTCCTGCTGTCCTCACCAAAACTCCACCGCTGCTGTTCTCCAAGTGCAGAATGTTCAAATCCATATTCCCAAACTGCATTTCTAGGAACATCTACAGCAGCCTTCTCTTTGCCTTTCCAGGGAGAATTGCCTGTCTCTAGATAGTTTCTATCTTCTGTTTGGGGTTTTGTTTAGTCCTGGAATCCGTGCCAGGCACCAGCAGCTTTATGAACTTTAAATTTCCATAGAAAGATCCCCAGCTCCTTCCCCCTCCTCACTGGAGCAGTGCAGTGGTGGGGAAGCAATTGCTGATGTCCCTGTACTTGCTGAAATGTGCACTGGACGCAGCCATGAGGTTGGAGAACTGCTGGGAGTTTAATTTTGGGCCACCCTGTGTGGCTGAGGAGTGGCTGGGGATCACAGAATCACGGAATGGTTTGGGCTGGAAAGGTCCTTAAAGCCCATCCAGTGCCACCCCTCCCACGGGCAGGGACACCTTCTGCTGCCCCAGGTTGCCCCAAGCCCAGTGCTTGGACAATTCCAGGGAGGCAGCCACAGCTTCTCAGGCTCCTCCCCACCCTCCCGGGGAAGAATTCCTTCCCCCTATCCCATCTAACCCAGCCCTCTGTCAGTTTGAAGCCGTTCCCCCTGGTCCTGTCCCTCCAGGCCCGTGTCCAAAGCCATTCTCCAGCTCTCTTCTCCCTGACTCCATTTTCTGTGGAGTGCAGGAGCAGAGCTCAGATTTCCCTGGTGGTTGCTCCCAGTTACACCAGTTCCTGGTCAGGGCAATGCTCCCTGTGTTGTGCTGAGCTGGGATAACCTGGAACCTCCTCCTCTTCCTCCTCTTCCTCCTTTTCCTCCTCCTCTTCTGCCTCCCAAAGTACAAACCCCCAGTTCATGCCGTGGTTCACCCCATGGTGGGATCCTCTGGAGATCTGGAGCCCTGACTCCGCTGATGCTGTAAAATCTGAGACAAAGTCAACCTTCTCCAAACAGCCCCAGTTTGTGTTTGTTGCTTCTTCTGCTTCACTTTGTGAGGCACCACAGCGCTGGTGAGTGGTGCTGTGTAAATAAACAGCAACACCCAGGGCTGTGCTGGCAGCAGTTCCTGCTGTGCTGGCTGGAAACAGCTGCTGCAGCCACCCCACATCCCCGTGGAATATTGCAGCAATTCTCCATGCAATACTGCATCAGTTCTCCATGCTATACTGCAGCAATTATCCAAGGAATACTGCAGCAATTCTCCATGGAATACTGCAGCAATTCTCTATGCAATACTGCAGCCAGTCCCCATGGAATACTGCAGCGATTCTCCATGCAATACTGCAGCCAGTCCCCATGAAATACTGCAGCAATTCTCCATGCAGTACTGCAGCAAATCTGCTTCACACAGGGTTGTCTAGTCTAAGCAAGTAAAAAATGAGGGCTGGTGAGCTACAGGTGTGAGTTCAGCTGATTTCTTGGAATTAATTTCAAATAAGTGACACAATCCATGGTTCTCTGACGTTGGACAAGCTATAAAAGCTGTAGGACAAGCTATAAAAAACAGCACCAAGGTTTGCAGCTCCTTGTTCCTAGATGAGCCCAATTCAGCCAGAGGAGCACGAGCTGTACCCAGGTACCTGGGATTGTCCTGGGAGCAGCCACACACTGCAGGGGACAAGGATCCACAGACTCTGCTTTGGCTGAGGATGGAAACTCAGAGATGTGTCCTGGAAAGGAACCTTTGGAATGCTTTTTGTGCCAGGCTTTTCCTGGAGATGCTGTTTGATCACAGGGGTCTGGAGAGACAAGACAGGGAATGGCTCCCACTGCCAGGGGGCAGGGCTGGATGGGAGATTGGGCAGGAATTGTTCCCTGGCAGGGTGGGCAGGCCCTGGCACAGGGTGCCCAGAGTAGCTGTGGCTGCCCCTGGATCTCTGGCAATGCCCTGGACAGGGCTTGGAGCAGCCTGGGACAGTGGGAGGTGTCCCTGCCATGGCAGGGGTGGCACTGGATGGGCTTTAAGATACTTCGAATCCAAACCATTCTAGGATTCTATTTCAGACTATTTCTACCTTCAGAAATTGTATTTCCCCCAGTGAATCACAGTCCTGGGAAGCCCCCTACAGTGCACATATTAAAAATATGGGAAACAATTAATTCAAACCCAGAACTTGTGTTTGTTTTCACCAGACAGCACCAATGTGTTTGCTACAGCCTGGACATGGAGAGCACTGGAGTGTGACTTTTAATTCCTCCTTTCAGATGTGAAATCATCCTCACTGCTCAGCAGATACCCAGGTGTTGTTTCTTAGCTAACATTTGCCCTCATTGCAGCAAAACTTTTCTGAAGTCAAGGTTTAGGTGGTTCATAGGAAAGAAATAAGGAGTTCCACTTGTTGACAGGGTTGTGCTACACTAAAAATCTGGAATCTCTTTAACTTTTCTTACCAATAAACAGCTGTGAGTGGTGCAGGTGAGTCTGTGAGAATCCCAGGAAGGGCTGGAGCTGTGTCAGGGGTTGGGATGGAGCTCAGGGAAAAGTTCTTCCCCCGAGAGTGCAGGGCACTGCCCACTGTCAGCAACTTTTCTGCTGCTTCTTTCTTCTTGCAACATCAGCTTTTTATCTGCAAAGATGAATGCAGCTTTATTGCAAAGATGACCTAGTTCTTTAGCTCCACAAGGTTAGGCTGGTTCATTGAGTACATGTCCATTTTCCTGTAAAAAGCACCTTACATTCAGGTTACTAACCCAAAAGAAAATAGGACAGGTTTGTGTATGGGATTATGTTCCCAATAATACTTTGCCCTGTTCATGTCTGAGATTCCTGCACGTGGGATTTAGATTTTGCCAGCAACCCCTAAACTATTGTGGCTTCTGCTCTTCAATTTCATTTGGCTCTTAGGGAAACTCCAAATTACAGATCCATTCCTGACTCTTTTCTGTCTTCAAAGTTACTTTTAAAGAAACAGCAGAGATCAGTGAACGGCTGTTACACAACAGTTAGGTGTATATATATATATTGCTTGACTTAATTCTGTGAAATCTAATTAAAGACTGAATGTATATTTGTATTTCAGTATATTATTAACTTGCTAATAAAAGCCATTTCCAGATTTGTATTTTTCCATGAGGACTAGGTTTCTGAAAAAAACCCTCAACCCAGCTATAGTGCCTGCTGCCCTTGAAAAGTGTGTTTTGGGTTTATCTGTGTTTCCAGGTAACTGGAGCTCGTAGACAAGCAGTGCTTGCTTCTGTTTTAAATTAATTTAACCTAATCAGTGGCAGGGTCTGGTGCCTTCTCTTGTTTATAACATTTTGAAGCAGTGTAATGAGTAGAAAGCTTCTTTTCAAGTTCCTTGGCATGTTTGCTTCTTGCTTCCATTCCCCTCCTCTGAGCAGGACTCAGGGAAGGGGAAGGGTTTGGACACGTGGCTCAGGGCACTGTGGGTGAGCTGCTCAGGTCCAGCTGCCAGCAGCCTGGGAGGGGACAAGGACATGGCCTCTCTGTCAGAGCTGGCCCAAAGCTCTCCCCGTGCCCTGCTGGGTGAGGAAGGGCTGGCAGTAAGAGGTGGAAGGTGTTTCACCCTTGGGTGGCACGGTGCCCAAGGGTTGGTGCTGCTGTGGGGCACTGTCCCAGCCTGTGCCAGGCTCTGTGAGGTGGGTCAGTGTCACCTCGACGTGGCATGGAGACTTCTGGGGCTGAGGTCAAGGTTTGGATGAGCCAAGGATCTGTCTGGTCTAAACTTTGCAGGATCTGAAGGGGCCTAAAGGAAAATGGAGAGGGGCTCTTTGTCAGGAACTGGAGGGACAAGACACAGGGAACGCCAGAGGGCAGGGCTGGATGGGAGATTGGGCAGGAATTGTTCCCTGGCAGGGTGGGCAGGCCCTGGCACAGGTGCCCAGAGCAGCTGTGGCTGCCCCTGGATCCCTGGCAGTGCCCAAGGCCAGGCTGGACAGGGCTTGGAGCAGCCTGGGACAGTGGAAGGTGTCCCTGCCATGGCAGGGGTGGCACTGGATGGGCTTTAAGGTCCATCCCAACCCAAACCATTCCATGATCTGTGAAATTTCTTGGCTCCCTCTCA